CCCAGGGATGGCGAGCCCAGATCCTGGGGATGGCGTGCACGGATCCCGGGGATGGCGAGCCCCGATCCCAGGGGCGGTGCCCATGCGGACTCTTGCCGCGGCGCTGTTCCGCAGCACTCTGCGTTCCTGGTGGAGAGCTGTCCCCGTGGGCAGTGCTGGCCCGCGTTCATGGACAGCGTGGTGGCAGCTGGCAAAGCCAGGGCACGGCTGGCAGGAGTTACTGGGGTGACCTGCTGTTGTTGCCAATTTAGGGACGCTAAACACAGACACGGGGCCCGGTTTAGACAGGAGGTGCTTTTTGTTCTGTGCAGGGTGCCAGGTGAAAGTGTTACATAAATCAACTCAGATTCTCAAAAATTTGCAGAATCACAGAAACGGTTGACTTGGAAAAGACTTCTGAGATCATCGAGTCCAACCTATGACTGAACATCACCATACCAACTAGACCATGGCACTAAGTGTTGTGCCCTGTCTTTCCTTAAACTCCTCCAAGGGTCAGCGACTCCACCACTGCCATGGGCAGTACATTTCAATTACACTAAATACACATTTTAGCAAATAAATCACAGTTCGTTGGAAAATTCTCCTGTTGGTATTTAACCTTTATTGGTTTAACGATTTTCTTGCTTCTTATGCTAATTAGTCCTCATGCTCAATCTTTCTCTTCTTTTGAGTTGCTGGGATTCTGGAGTTGGTGGCCAGTGGTGGCTGAGTCTCCACATGGCTGGAATCAAGAGGCACTGGTAACTGGCACTGATTCCTTGCATTATAAAGGGCAGGGGACCTGTGGCCAAAAGACACAGCAAGTGACAATAGACAGGTGACACAGCAGGAGCTGAACACTCACAGGACAGCTCCAGACTGTTGGATAAAAGCCCTGGTGGTCCTCTGTTCAGGGTCAGTCCTTCAAAGCTATGATGCCTGTTTCACTGATAAGGCAAGACTGTTTCCCAACCCCCTTCTCATTCTCTGTAACTCTCTGGGTGAATCGCTGGCTATTTCTGACTCTTTGGGTGTCAGCATAATTGCAATATCTTCTCTCTGAGCTCAGATTTGCAGGTTCAAAATGGAGACATTGAAAGTTTTCCAAAGTAAAAAACCAGGGTGTCAGACATGGTGTAGCAGCAGCCACAGACTGCTGTCCTGTGCCTGGGTCACTGGTCAGGCAGTGAAGGTTGGATTGCTCACATTAGTGTTCCCTGGCAGGGCAGAAGTGCTGTCACATCTCCGGCTTGCCTCCTGTTCCCTGGAAGGCCAAAAGATGGACATTTTCACATTGGCTGTAGCAGAGCTTCACACACATGGGTCCCACAGGCCAGATGGCTTTGTGGGAGTGGCACAAAAGTCACTTGCAGTGACTTCCCCAGGTTGCCTCCTGGCAAGGTCTCACCAAAAATGCATCCACCTCCAGGTTTGGGTATGTTGGCCAGGTGAACCAGACGCTCCCTGAACAGCTCCCCGCATGCCTCCTGCTATTGCCATGAGTAATGTGATCACAGCCTGTATCGGAAAATCTCCAGACATGTAATAACAGCAAAGACGGGCCTTTTGTGGCAAGTGGGTTGTTTGTGACTGATTTTGTTAGCTATCTCTGAATGCATTTTGAAATTTATCTAAAAACTGCTGCAGGAGGGTAGTTGTTACCTCTGTGAATAATAGAAAAACACAACAAATACAGCTCCATCTGACCAAACTGCTTCCTTTGTTCCTTTATTATATACTTCAGATATATCTGAAAGCACTCCCCAAATAAATTCATCCTCTATATATATTTATATGTAAATATCTATAAATCTCTTACTAGCTTGAAGTTCCTATTACTAATCACTTGCTAACATAACTTTTACTTTTTCATGTTTGCTACATAAGAACCTTGTGGATGTTTTAAATTTAATTTGTCTTTCTGATTTTTATTATAAGCTTTGTTATGCCACTCTCTTCTAGGAAAATACCCTCTTCCAGTTTTTTGATTCTGACAGGCATTATGATAGCAGTAAAAAGATCTCCATGTGTAACGCTACCTGGTTTACATAACACATGCCATTATCTCTGCTAGCTTCTACTTTATCTCTAATTATTAGGCATCTACTCCTCTTTCTTTGGCAGCCAAGTTCAATACCTCAGAAGTAATGAAAACCTTGTTATTATTGTACCCGCTTTTCTCTGTATATTCTTCTTTAAAAGCCAAAAGAATGTGTGTGCGTGCATGTATGTATGCTATTTTCAGATCATTCACAGTTAGCTCATTTTCTGTTACTTTCTTCTGAACCTTTCTTTTATTGAAATAATACAAGGGAAGTTTCACAGAAAATTGTGTCGATCTGTTTCCTGCTAAAGCCAGTTTGAATTTCTTTTTACCGTTATCATTCTTTAAAAATGTTTTAAATCCACCCAGTTAAACCCACTAAGCCTCCTTTCTTGGCTTCTTCTTTAATCCTTTTCATATGCACATTATTTCTCCTCTCTATTTTCTAGGTCATCAAATTGAAGAGTTAAATTTTATTCATTTTCTGAGTTTTGGCAATTATAGCAAATATTTCTTTTGTGATCTCTCTGCTATATATCAATTGTTATAACTTTCTCACTTAAATCTTTTCCATCCCGTGCTTTTTATTGAAGAAACTCTCTCAGCACCTCTTTTAAATGCAGGTACATAATTAAATCTTGTTTGCAGTAACAGTGCTTTAGGATGGAAATATCATCAAAGCCTGTAAGTTGAGGTCTAGGTAAGCTAGTATTGGTGAAGTGATTGCCAAGATAAAAGCAATGTGTTCTGAACATTTCTGCCTCACTTATGAAAAAATATTCAATGAGAAAGTATTCAGTTATGTCATATTCATTCAAATTGCTTTTTAAAAAAAATTGTTTGATTTGAAACAATTGAAAGGGATTTTGTACTGGTATCCAGTCTCAGGTTTTGTTCTGGCTAACTTAAATCTGTCTAGAGATGAAACTTACCTGAATATCCAAACATACCAGGCCTGTGTTTCAGTGCAATTCAGAATTAGTTAAGAGTTAAGCACTTTACCCACCAAGTGTTCATTGACCACATTTGCTGCTTCTAGTTGCTGACCTGTAAAAGCAGTCTCCTGTGCAATTTGAGAAACACAAGAGGCAATGCAGCCCCCATTTGTCTGTATTTCTTTCCTCTTTTTCAAAATAAAACAGCTCCACCCCCAATCTGGACAAAAATCTTCCTGTCATATTCAACCTTGCATAAACCATCTGGTATGTGCTGTTAAATAAGCTCAATGTTTTGTATCACTTGTAGATCATTACAAAGGCAGGTGGAGCTGTTCATTTTATAGCAGTTAGAAGCAACTCCTATATCAAGTGGCCTAATAAGTCTTAATAAAGCAAGTTTATGAAGACCTCCATTACATGCAGCAGGGAAATCTGTCACAGGAAAGAGGGAAAGAATGCTGGGTGTATGATGGGATGATTAGTTGGTGGATAAAGGGAGAGCAGTGTACGCTGTTTATCTTAAGTAAGGCTTTTTATTGTCTCCCATTACACCCTGACAGACAAACTGATGAAGCATGGGCTATTAAGATGGATATGGAGCTGAACCTAAATTTGGCAGAACTGCGGGGCTCAAAGGGTTGAGATTGGCCACACAAAATGCAGCTGGGGACCCCTCATCCTCAGGGTGTGCCCTCAGCTAGTTTACAGATGATGTAAAACTGGATGGAGTGACTGGTACATCAGATGGTTGTGCTGCCATTCAGAGGGACCCAAACAGGCTGGAGAACTGGGCCAAAGGGGATCTCAAGAAGCAAAACAAAGGGAAATGTGAAGTCCTGCACCTCGAGAGGAATAACCCCATGCACCAGTACTTGTTGGGGACCAGCTGGCTGGAAAGGAGCTTGGCAGGAAAGGACCTGGGGATGCCTGGGGATGCCAGCTGACAAAAGTTGAACCAGCAATGTGCCACTTGCTGCAGAGGTGGCCAACAGCCTCTTGGGCTGCATTAGGAAAAGCACTGCCAGGAGATAGACAAAAGCGATCCTTTCCTTCTGTGCAGCACCAGTGAGGCCACAGCTGCAGCGCTGGGTCCAGTCATGGTGTCCCCAGTACAAGAGGGACATACTGGAGTCTGGAGAAGGGCCACTAAGGTGACTAAGGGAATGAAGCATCTTTAGCATGAGGAAAGGCTGAGAGAGCTGGGACTGTTCAGCCTGGAGAAGAGGAGGCTCTGGTGGGAACTTATCTGTGTGTATCTGAAGGAAGGGTGCAAAGAAGATGGAAACAGACTTCTTGGTGGTGCACAGTGAAAGAACAAGAGAAAGAAGGCACAAATTGAAATATATGGAACTCCATTTAATCATTAAACATATTCCTGTGATGAGAATGGTTATCTCTAAATATCTTAAACACTAAAACAGGTTGTTCATAGAGCTTGTATGGTCTCCATCTTTGGTGATATTAAAAATTTTATTGAAAAAGTCCCTGAAGGACCTTCTTTAGTTAACTGAGCAAGGGGGTTGGACTAGATGATCTCCAGAGATTTTTTTTCAAACCCTAAATATTCTGTGA